TCAAGTCAAAGAACATGAGCAAAAATTTTCATAGATAGTCAAGAATGAAATTGCCTAACTTATCCAAAACTATATACGACAAGCTTGAATACCAAGATACTCCAAAGCAATACAACAAAACCATACACATTTCTATTTTCTTAATTTGTAATTTAGCAATTAGTGGTATCCTTGGCCAAGCTTGCACAAATCAAGGCAACGTCCCCCTCCCTAGTTTGGTCAGAAGCATACAATCTATGTTAGGACTAGAGGTATCAAGGGGAAATAAATCATCATAGCCTAACCTTAAAATAGAATCACACCCTAATCCAAAACAATACACACTCCAACTAGGGCAACCTCTATGTCACTAGCATACATGTTTCTATTACAAAGTTTCCATATGTACAAGCAATCCCCTGAAATTATATGGATGGTTCAACAAGATGAATCAATGCCGCAATTGTGATTTTTGATACATAGCCATAATGCCTCATATTTTTAACGAACCATATATAGCACCTCATTTTAAAAAGGGGATTGTTATTATTATAATGTTGTCTGCATATAATTGTCATGGACCAATTTGGGATTGTTATTATTATAATGTTGTCTGCATATAATTGTCATGGACAAATTATTAGATCAGTGTATGCGCACAACATTTGATATTTTTAACCATTCACATACATGAAATAGAACCCATGGAAACATGACACAAACGTAGACAGCAACTGCAACCATGATTTCACGACACATTGAATAATTAACTTACTATCACTGCCATCATTACCTTCAAATCTATAGTTAATTCCATTTTTCTATAAAAGACAATATCATCTGTATCCAATGGTTGCCAACTTCACCAAGGGTTTAACGTTTTTTTGACATGGTGGGATTCGATACTAATGAGCGTATTTTCTTAAGTGGAAATTAGGCTACCCAATCTAGTTGGGAATTCCGACCGGTGATGTACTGATATTTGCTCATAGGAGAGCCAAGCACACTGACACAATATTTAACGTGGTTCGGTAAAACCGCCTACATCCACGGGAGAAGTCAATATATTTAGAGATAGAGAAAGAATACAAAACAAATACATGGAGGAGGAGGATTACACCCTCTCATACTCAACTCTCAACTCTCTTTGCTGCACTTGCAGCTGCTGCAATGGCAGCAAGGCTGCTGCCATTGCAGCTCTCTCTTCCTCTCTACTCTCTTCACATTTTCATAATTCTCTTCACTCATTTTGCTCTCTTGCATATGCCTCTATTTATAGGCATTCATGGAGGTTTTTCTTCAACAAAGGTGGCTGCCAACTCCAACTCTTCTTCAACAATGGTGGCTGCCAACCTTTGACATCTTGGATGAGTGCACATGGTTGGTGCAATAGCAAATGGTTGTTGCACATTAATGGCAACCAACCTAACAGAAATAGGGCTACCCAATCTAGGTTCAAGTGGGTTGATGAATCAAATAAAGGTTGTTATTTGACTTTGGATGGCTCATATTTGATTTATAGAGCTATGATAAGGGAATCATAGCTAATCATAGCTATTATCACCATCATCATTACCATCAAATCTATAATTAATTTCATTTTTCAGTAAAAGACAATATCATCTGTATCCAATGGATGCCAACTTCGCCACAGATTTAACATTTCTATAGCTAACATTTCTTTTGCATGTTAGGATTTCAATACAAATGATTGTATTTTCTTAAGTTGAAATAGTGCTACCCAATCTAGGTTCAAGTGGGATGATGAATTAAAGAGCAGTTGTTATTTGACAGTGCAATTAGATGGCTCATAATTGATTTATGGAGCTACGATAAGGGAATCGTGCTTGTATCACATATAACAATATTTACATAGTAACAAGCATTATTAAAGATGCTACACAAGTAAGTTTATAGTGAAACATTTAATTTTACTACATTGAAGAAAATTCTGATTTGATACCAATTCATGTCTGACACAACTGCTACATAACACTTCGGATGCTCAACAATACTATATTCACAATCATGACAACAAACACTGATGCAGCCATGAAAACATCAAAACTGCGCCCACCTATTTGCTTTGGTAGTAGTATTGACTGCAAACTTGGTTGATCAACAGAATCCCAGCCTTCAGCCAACCCCAAATTTGACTATCATCATATAATATAACAACATTCTTAAATTCACATCCTACCGACCATTATGGCTATTATAATTGCCATCATGCCATCAGAGCCTCATTTTGAGCTAATTTCTCTCTCTTGCCACTATTAGCTTCCAACCATTCTATTGTTATGCTGTTCAGAGTTTCTATCTCATCATCCAATCTGCCAAAAATATAAAAGAGCATGTGCATGAATTTGATCTCAAAGGGGTAACACCTCATATGCCGACGGGAGATACATGACCAGTGATGGTTGTTCTATCCACAAAATTAGCTAACATATGACTATTTTATTCAACTACCATTTAAGGATATGAGTTCTCCTAGCCACACTCGAAAGCCCTAGCCGCTATATGAACAAAGCACCTAAAAAATTAATCACCTACCTAATCTAATTCAGGAAAATTTGGTCAAAATCTCCTACAATGAAATGAGTTATTTGAATGCATAGACAGGAAATTCAGGTAAACACACACACACACACACTTGATCTATTTTATTTTTTTTCTAGTTTTTTTTAATTGATATTTTTTTATGTATTTTTAATGAATTTTTGAATTTATATTTAAATTAATACTTTTCTCTCTAAATATTTTGATTGTTTATTTAGTTTTTTTCTAAATAGTGGATATCTTTTACTTATCTTTTATGTATTTAATATCTAGAAAAAATTATTCCAATTCATCTATATGTTTTTTTTATATATTTTATATGAATAAACTTTATTTTCATTACATGTTTATAAAAATAATTTTTTTTTGTTTTTGGTAAGAAAAAGTGACCTTTAAAATAAAAAAAGAAGGAGAAAAGTGTGAGTAAAGATGAAAGTTAAGGTTAAGTATCATATTTATGTATCTTTTACTTTTATGAAAATAATTATCATTTTATTTTATAATTTGATTGGCATTAACAACTCTTTATTAGTTTATTAGTTCATATTTTTGTAAGATTTGTTTTTTACATTTCTCAATTAAGAGAATTGTAATATAATAAAATGCACTTGAAACAAAGTCTCATTTTTCTACTACATTAAAAATTAACTTAAGATCTTATATGTGGCATGATGCATTAACAACTATTTTTTATATTTATGAACACTTATGGTCCTTACTTTATTTTTATTATATGTAAATATCAACTTTTTTATTCACAATTATAATTTTCTCTTGATTTTTAAAAATATGTTAACAACATTTATATATTTTTTTCCTTTTGCATTCAATAAATTATCTAACTCATAGCAAAGTAAATAAACGCATCAACACTTTTTTTTTTTAATTTATGATTAGGATTTGTTTTTGTTACAAATGCAATTAAAAAACATACAAATTTATTTTTTTGCTAAAAACAATTTTGTGATCCATACCGAAATGCGAGTTAAATAACTACTAATATGGCTATAGTAAGTCTTTTAGTATATGTGGATGTGGGAAGCAATATGTTATATTATTAGTTAGATATAACTTACCTATTCATTATTAAAAAAATATATAAAATGAATAAATATATTAATAGAAACCTAAAAGAGGCCGACTGAAATGTAATATTTTTACCTTTTTTATTTTGTTTCACATTTCTCAATTAAGAAAATCATGATACAATAAAATGCACTTCAAACACCATCCTATTTTTCTACTATATTAAAAATTAACTTCCTACATCAGGCACGTTGCCTTAATAATTGTTTTTGTATTTATTATCATGTATAATTCTCAATTTATTTTATCAATTTTTTTATTTACAATTATATTTTTTTCTCTTGTTATCAAAAAATACATTAACAACACTTATACATCCATTCTCTTGTGTTGGAAAATATTATTTGACCCATAGCAAAGCAAGTTAAATAAACACATCAATACCTTTTTTTGTATTTATGATCAGGGTTTATTTTTTTGTTAAAAATATATTTAAAAAGCATTTATATTTATTTAGTTTGCTAAAAAACACTTCTGATTTATAGTAAAGTGTGAGTCAAATAACTACTAATATGGCTACAGTGAGTGTCTTTTTAATATATGTGGATGTAGGCAATAATATGCTATATTATTAGTTAAATATAACTTACCTATTCATTATAAAAATAAATATATAAATAGAAACCTAAAAGAAATTGGCTGAAACAATAGAGTCCAGGAGAGGAAATATTGTGAATTCACATAGTGTTTACCTTTTCTTTTTAGGTTCAGTGATCTTTGATGATAAATTGATTAAGATTTGAGATGGTTAATATATTTTTGATTTTCTTTTTTATAGTTATCTTACTCTCAATAAAACATCATAATATGAGAACAATGCTCAATCTCATAAAAAATAAATAAATTATTGTTTGTAAGAAATTGAAAATGAAAAGATCAAAATTGAAACAAATAAAAAATCAATTTTTTTTAAAAAATATGGTGTCAACTTTGCCTTCTTTTTTTTTTGCTTTTGATCATCTACTTTTTTTTTTAAATTAATTTTTCAATATTATGTTAATTAGAATTTAAAGTTAATTTTATATGAGCATCTAGAACTAAATAAAAAGCCGCACCATTGGTTTGGTGCTCAATTATGAAAAATAAATCGATAATATTATTTGAGAAAAAATAAAAATTGAAACATGAAAAAAAATTAAAAAAGGATGCCTTAAAAAGACAAATTGTGTCAACTCCTCCATGCCTTGTAATTTTGATAAATCTTCTTTTTGGTAATGAAACTTTTTGATACAAAACTTTATTTTAGTTGTATTTTAATTCTGAGGTTGAGAAAAAATAAAAGAGAAATTCATCAAAAAATTACAAAGAAAAGAGAAAATTAGCGAAAGCCAGCAAGGTATCTGCTCGAAAAAACCATCAACATAAGATTGCTCTGCTAGGAAAACATGATATCAGTATCACACTTTTGAACAAAGAGTTCAGCATCAAGTCTCAGTCATCTTGAGATTTGAATGCCCAAACATATTCAGATGCCCATAAAATAACATTTTTAATAATGCATTAGAAACAGAACATCAAACAAAGAGTTCAGCATCAAGCAAACATTCGCGCTTACTTCCGGAGGCTTGTACGATAATGGGCAAGCAACATTGTATTTTTGGAGGCTTGTACGATAATGACTAAACACACAACATTACATTACTTCTAACTTCTTCAGCAAACACATAGATAAGTCGAAATCTTCTATGGTAAATAAGACTGTTACAATGTGAAGCCAATTTGTATCCCATTGCCAATGAAACAGTTGGAATTAATTACTTCCCACCAATCTAGAACATATTCGCAGCACCAACCTTGAAATCATGTAACAGCTAACCACCCTTGCCTGATGCAAACATGAAGAACAAAGACCATCCATGATTTAATTCAACCATTAAAATTTGAGGGTAAAGGAGAGGATAAATAATTGCAGCTATATCACCTGGTTTGGGCGAGAAAGAATTATTAGACTAGCAATCATCATCATCACTATCTTCCTCTTCCTCTTCCTCTTCCTCTTCTGACCCATCATCACCACCATCTTCCTCTTCTTCTTCTTGTACTTCTTTCCACCCATTATTTCTGGTCCACTCTCTATTAATGCTTGAATCTTCAGATACCTGTAAACCAATTCAAGCATGCCATGCTCATTTTAACTTGTAAATCTTATTATTGAGCCAAACAAGAAACAAAAACCCTAAAGGAGAGGCAAGAAATCAAGTCAAATCAGCAGCACCTCTGATTGAGCACTCATTGAACCATCTGGTGTAGTAGCAAATTTTGTGGTCAGCTTTGGACATTGATGGACCTTCAACTTCTCCAAACGAGGGAATAAGAAATAATCACACCATCCGAAACTAAAACAGACAATACTTGATAATTGTTTTAGCGACAACTTCTTTAGATTAGGAAGCACTATCTTCTTCTCAACGTTGATAGGTGAAGCTTGATCATCCAGCCCAGGAGACACTGGAATTATTTCCCTTTCACCATCCTCTTCTCTGATAATATGCTTCAATTCACCGCATTCACTTATCTCAAGTCTTTCTAGCTTTAGCAGACTTCGCGCGAGGGACGGTGTGAAGATAAATGTCAGTTTGTTGAGAGAATGCAAATGCAGAAAAATAAGATTGTGGAGGCTGACATGTCTGTTGGGCCCCTTCCATATGCATTTGAGCTCAGGTAACCTTCGCACCTGTAACTTGGTTAAAGATGACAGCAGCGGCAGCTCCTTCTCCTCAGTGCTTCCTTCATCGGCCTCACCCAATTCAAATAACTCTTCCAATGATTTGCAGCCGGTAATTTCCACAGTGCTTAAATTGTTCAGATCTGGCAGCAATTTTGCTGGAAACGGAGCGCGAACATCCCCACAATTCGACAACCGTACAGATTCTAATCTTTGTAAGAAGCCGTTTTGCTGTCCATGGACGGCCATCTTATCAGAGAGCAATATTATATGATGTATAAATAGGAGAAAGAAATAGAAAAAAACAGGATTAAATGCTTTTTAGAGATTACATATTATTGTTTTAGTTTTTTTCTTAATTAGAGATAAGTTGAGTAACAATTAAATACAACTCCAAATAATTAGTTTCATGTAAAAAATAAAAATCCTAACTAAGATTTTTATTTTAGTTATAAAGTTAATAAATTTTTAAAGATATTTTAATTGACTTCAAAATTTTCAACACAAAATTTTTAAAGTTAATAAATTTTTAAAGATATTTTAGTTATATATTAATAATTTTTTTTGTGAAGTTATTTGATGTACTTTTGTATAAAAATAATTTTTTATTCTGTCCAATATTTATCAGCCCTCGTAATATATACACCTCGTGTCAGGCATAGATTACCTCCAAAGTACCCTTCCATATACACCTCGTGTCAGGCAGAGACTGCAAGCATAATGTTTCCAAATTTGTCAACCCCTGCATCAAAAGATATTTGTTAGATATAATTCCTAACAAATGTTGTGCACTTCGGAAGTGTCCATATGAAACTTCAGCCAAAAACTTATCAACAAAGGGATACAAGTAGACATGGCAATAGGGCATGGGAATATGAAATCAGAAGAGCCTCAATTTCACTCAAACTTGGAAAGCGTAAACATCGAAAAATCTTGATATCTTTTCATTACAATAATTAATTTCATCAAGAGACAGGGAATGATACAGTTAGACAACTCCTTTTAAATTTAGTGGATGGCTAAATGATTTATCAATTACTCCAGTTTCAGAAATTTAATGGAAGAAATCAACATGTATTGAAGTTGACAATTTCAATTAAAAAGGAACAAAAGTTATTGGAGAAATATGAAGGACGTACTTGGAGCTGTGCACGCAAATTTCCCACATCTTTGTGGCCATTGATTTGTAGAGTTTGCAAGGAAGGCAATTGGGCAGCAAAATTATTTGGACCAAAGAAGCTGCAATTTGATCTGAAAGAAAGATCCAATTCACTTAGTCGAGGGAACTTGATGATGCCATCTGTGGTGAGTGCATCTCCTTCTCCACTGTAAAATATTTGCTTTAAATTATGAGCTTTAACAATCTGCATCTCTTCCAGGTTCAGAAGGCTTGGAGACACAGAGACAGGGAAGACATATTCCAGTTTACCACACTTTTCTATGGTGATTTTTTTTAATTGTGGGAAGCAAGGAGACTCTGTAATTATTTCCCTTTCACCATCCTCTTCTCTGATAATATGCTTCAATTCACCGCAATCTCTTATGTCAAGGGTTCCCAGCTTTGGCAGACTTCGAGCGAGGGACGGTGTGAAGATAAATGTCAGTTTGTTGAGAGAATCCAAATCCAGACGAGCAAGATTTTGGAGGCTGACATGTCTGGTGGGCCCCTTCCATATGCATTTCAGCTCAGGTAACCTTCGCACCTGTAACTTGGTTAAAGATGACAGCAGCGGCAGCTCCTTCTCCTCACTGCTTCCTTCATCGGCCTCATCCAATTCAAATACCTCTTCCAATGATTCACAGCCGGTAATTTCCACAGTGCTTAGATTGTTCACAGCTCGCAGCAATTTTGCTGGAAACGGAGCGCGAACATCCCTACAACCGTCCGCTTTTACATATTCTAATCTTTGTAAGAAGCCGTTTTGCTGCCCATGGACGGCCATCTTATCAGAGAACAATATTATACTTTTTCACTCTCATAAAAGCAATTTATATGATGTATAAATAGGAGAAAAAAACAGGATTACATGCTTTTTGGAGATTACATATTATTGTTTCAGTTTTTTTCTTAATTAGAGATAAGTTGAATAACAATTAGATTTTTGCGAAAAAAAGGTTAATAAACTCCTAATTATTAGTTTCATGTAAAATATAAAAATAAAAATTGTAACTAATATTTTTATTTTAGTTATAAAGTTAATAAATTTTTCAAGATTTTAATTGAATTAAATATTTGAACACGCAAGTTATGCTCTTATTTATTAAATCTAACAGATAATATGATTTCTATGATTCATTTTTTGTATTAATAACGCAAACAACTAAGTTTGTTACATAATTAAAAAACAAAATCAAACTTGGATTTCTTACTTTACTTTTAGAAATTGGGAGGAAGAAAGAATAAATTATCGAAATTGACAAATTAATTTAGTGGAGAAATATAAATTACGTACTTGTAGCTGTGCCAACCAATTACCCACTTCTTCGTGGCCTTCAATGGTTAATTTTCGCAAAGGCAATTGAGCATCAAAATTCCTTGGACCTAAAAAGCTGTAATTTGATCGGAGCCGAAGAGACAATTTTCTTAGCTGAGGGAACTTGACGATGCCATCTCTGTTATGAGACAAAGAGACTGGGAAGACATATTCCAGTTTATCACAGAAAGATATGTCGATATTTTTTAATTCTGGGAAGCAAGGAGACCCTGTAATTGTTTCCCTTTCACCATCCTCTTCTCTGATAATATGCTTCAACTCACCGCAATCGCTTATGTCAAGGGTTTCCAGCTTTGGCAGACTTCGAGCGAGGGACGGTGTGAAGATAAATGTCAGTTTGTCGAGAGAATACAAATCCAGACGAGCAAGATTTTGGAGCAAATCCAGACGAGTCAGTTTGTCGAGAGAATACAAATCCAGACGAGCAAGATTTTGGAGGCTGACATGTCTGGTGGGCCCCTTCCATATGCATTTCAGCTCAGGTAACCGGCCCAGCTCTAACGTTGTTAAAGATGACAGCAGCTCCTTCTCCTCACTGCTTCCTTCACCAGGCAGGTCACCTAATTCAAATACCTCTTCCAATGATTCACAGCTGTCAACAATCACCTCCTTTAGATTTTTTAAACCTTGCCGCAATCTTGCTGGAAACAGAGTGGAAACATCCGCACAGTCCCTCACTTCTACAGATTCTAATTTACGTAAAAACAATTGCTCAAATATCTTCGCATTTAAGGATGTACCAAATAAAATTAAGGTGGTTGGGTATCGATCCCTAAACATTGTATAATATTCTTTAGCATTCGCTAATATTATACCATATTTGCGCAAGCTATCTGGAAAAACAAAATCTCTAGGAATGCATTCAACCTTCGGTATCCTCAATGATAATACGGCTAACTGAGACAACGAATTTAGTTCTGTTAGGCTTGCATTCATTCCTCCTGTGCTGTCACATCCAACAACATCCCATCCATCAAAGCTGCGACCCCCGATCAACAGCTCTTCTAACTTCTTCAACCTTCCAATCAAATTCACAGGGATCCTTCTTAGCCTTTCACAACCTCTAACATCCAACAACCTTAACTCCTTGAGCTCTCCTATTTCATCAGGTAATTCTTCAATGGATGAGCACCCCATAAGACCAAGAATCTTAAGTCTCTGCAGCTTTCTCAACCAAATGAGGTCCTTGCATTCGCACTCCATCAACTCCAACGATTGAAGTTTCGTTGAGAGTTCGAGTGATTGCAATGACAAACAACCTCCCTCCAGAGACAAAACTTCAATTTCTTTCATCCCTTCAAAGAACCTCTCTGGAACATTCATACCATCATCCACTTCTAATAATAGAACTTTCAGCTGTGGACATCCCAATCTTTCAGGAAGTTCTTCTAGTTTATTGCCCATTAACGAAATTGTTTTACAACCTTCAAAGCTTGTATTGCTCATTGGCCACTTCTTCAACCCAATGCCAGCCTTTACCATGAATCCATATTCTTCTGATGATGCTATCTGAATAGCAAAGTCACGAACCAAGTCATGCATTCTCACATGTTCTTCAGTTTCAGAGCCCAACAGCATGCAACAATCTTTGAGGTTTTCGATTGCCACAGAAACTCGTTTCCTTGCATCTTCGATGGGCTCCGCATCTTGATGTAACCCATAGCCAACTGCATATCTCGTTAACTCCTCGATTGGAATGTCACAATCTTCTGGAAATAAACAGCATAGCACGAAACATGACTTTGTTTCCGCGTACTTCAAATAATCATAGCTCAACTTAAGACATGTGTAAGCATTATTTTGTTCGTCAATTTGTTCCATGCGCCCAAATTGAGATTCTTTGAGCTCTCTAGACGCTAATTCCCACTGATCTAGAGATTTATCTCTTAGAGCCCTTCCCACTGTCACAAGTGCTATAGGCAAGCCTTGGCATTCTCTCGCAACCTCCCTTGCCACTTTGTTCAAGGTAGAGTCCCCATCACGTAAACCTGCATTGATTCTGAATAAATCCCATGCTTCATCTTCAGGTAAGACTCTTAAAAGCACTTTTTGCTGGCACCCCATAGAAGAACATATGCCTTGAACACGTGTTGTTAGAAGTATTTTACAACCCCTGTGATCATCACCAAATGGGATCCCTATCTCTTTCAAGTCAATATGTTTCCAAACATCATCCAGGATTATAAGCATCTTCTTTCCCTGCAGTCTCTGCCATAATTCACTTGCTTTACCTTCTTTACTCTTTTTTTCAAATTTCAGATGTAAACTATCTGCCATTCGATCCTGGATGCCCATGACATTTGGATTCTGGGACACCGTAGCCATCAAAACTTCAGGAAAAAGCTGCGACTCTTTGGCTCTCCTGCCTACTTCTTTCACCAGGGTTGTTTTACCCACCCCTCCCATGCCGTACAGTCCGATCATATTGACGTTGTCATCTTTGAGAGCTTTCATGATCAGTTTGAAAGCTTCTTCTGACGATTCTGAGGGCGTGAATTCCTTTGATGGGAGAAATTCTATGGGCTGAGGATGAGCTCTGTGGGACACTTTTGTAAACTTCTTTTCTAAAAGTTCTCTGAAAATCTCCGACCTCTTGGCCAGTGCCTTGCTTAACTTGAATTGTCGCATGCAGTTTGGACACCAAGTGAAGCATTTGCCATTTTTTCCTATTTCATTTTCCAAGGGCTTCGCACCTTCAATTTCGTTTTTTGCATCTTCCATCCACTTTTTCACATCTTCGTAAATTTCTTCAGCATTCCTTTCAGCAGCTTCGACTTCTTTTTGCAGACCATCTAGTGCTAAAGCAAGGTTCTCCTTTTGTTCCTTGAATTCTTCAACAAAATTGTTGAAACAGAACATGTAACGGAACTGCCTTCCTACTGGTTCCACCATGAGTTCTGCTATCTTAGATATAATGGATCCACCCACACTTTCGATAGCCATTTTCCTCTCTGAAAATCAGAGAAATGAGGATACAGGACGTGAGGGTGAGTCACTACAAGTAAAACAGGCGCAGAGAGAATGGGAATAGGAATTCCATTACCTTAACTTGGGAAAATAAGAGCGGAAAGCACTGGTACTGAGAGCTCAATGAAATAGCAGGAGGAAGAGAAGGAGAAGGCCTTTAGCTCTGTACGGAACCCAGCTTCAAAAGCAACAAGGCAAGGTATAAGGATTCTAACTGACACTTGTGAGTTAAAGCAGTAATTCCCATTAAAAATGCATTTTGATGATATAATTAAGATCATATAGAGACAGTGACAAAATTATAATAATTAAAATAATGAATAAAAGTACTCACCTAGCAAAGAAAGAAACGAATGAAAGGTTCAGGATAATTAATCACTTAGCTCGCTTCCAACAACAAATATAATTAATTAATCTAAGCTATGATCGGTCAAAGTCTATTTTAGTTTTATTGTTGTTTTTTTTTTTAAAAAAAAACAGATCAATAAATGAAAAGACTTCATTAATTACTGGAATGAACACAACAAAAGGATGAAAGTCAAGCAATTAAAAATAATCTATGATGTTCGTCTCTGTGTCACGCTCAATGATGTATTATGATTGACCTTTTACAATATTAAATAAATAAATAAAAGCTAAAAAGAGGCATCCAGATTGCTATTACAATCTTAAATAATCTATGATGTTCGTCTTTTGTGGTTTTATTCTATTTCAGTCCTTCAAATCTTTTTCTTTTGCTATTTCATCGAGTTGCTTTGCTCTTGAGTTGATATGCTTGCCCTAGAATATGCATCATGCTAGGGATTACAATTACATTACATAAGAAATTATACTTACAGATTATAATTAAAAATTTCAGTTTTTTTCTTAAAAAACAAATTTAGGAGAAAGTACCAAAATATTACAACGTGAGTAAATTAAAGGAGAATTTTAAATTATTTTTTAAAACTATTAAATAAAATGTCTCTATAATTTCTCAACATTAAATTTTATTTAGAATCTCGGATTATACTCTAGGAATTAATCTAGGAATTAAACTGAAATTCATAAATTGTTATGGATAATGAGTTATTTAGTTGATTTTGAAAGATTTTAAGTAAAAATAATAATTTTGAGTTATGGTTTATTTAAATGATAAATTTGAGTTAGAAATCTTGTTACATCACTGAAAATTCTATGTTTAAGATTAAAGATATGAAATTTCAGTTTAGTTTTTAAATTTATGAATTTCAGTTTAATTCCTAGATTAATTCCTAGAGTATAATTCGAGATTCTAAATAAAATTTAATGTTGAGAAATTATAGAGACATTTTATTTAATAGTTTTAAAAAATAAGGGATTAAAATGAATTTTACAAACAATTACAGTGTTGTCGCACATGTTTACCAAGTTTTTCATTTCAGTCATCTATATTTGAATTCAACTCTTATCCTAAAAAAACAAATTTAATTTGAGCATAAAGAGATTTCATTATAAAAAAAATAATTCAAATATCAAATTAAAATTTAAAAAAAATCATTATTAATATCCACATCCACAATAAAATAAGTCTTGGTAAATAGTAATAAACAGAAAACTCTTTTATCTTTTAATTTATACTATAATTTAGTATTGTGACATGTATTTTTTTAAAGTAATTTTTTATTTAAAAACATATTTTATATATATACATAATAGCAAGAAATAACACATCATATTCAAATCAATTCATCAATCAAACCCAAAACACAATCTTCAAAACTCGAATATTTAACAAAACACAAAATTAAAGCTAAGAAAAATACATTTATACACATAAAATGTAAATCTTACATTTTAACTTATTTTCTCCCTTCTCCTTTCTTTATCTTTTTCTCTTTTTTTTTCATTCTCATAGTTCTCTCTCTAAGAATTTAGAATTTTTTATTTATTTTTATTTATATTTATCTGTTTAATTATTATAATACCATTCACTCATGTATACCTGCTTCTAAACCTCCAAGAGTTTTGTTACCTTTTTCTATTCTCTTTTATTTTAATAACATCACAATAAAATTATATTCTTTTTATTAAGCTGCTAATTTATGCAGCTTTAGCTCATGTTCTCTCTTCTTGTTTAGCAATTCAGATCTGTTCCTTTTCTTTGCATGATATAAGAGCAGGTTCTTACCTCTTGAAGTCTGCTGGATAAACCTATCAGCAGAAGATCCTGAAGCGATCCCAAATCACAGCTTCAATCCCCACCACAACCAATCTCCTCTTTCCCGCAGTCTGTCGTCCTCAATTGGGAAATGATCTCAAAAAATCACTTGATGCAACAAGTAGGGTAGAGAAATATAAGACTTCAACAAAGAATCAAACTCAAAAAAATAAAAGTAGAGAATGCTAGAGAATGCTAGAGAATAACTTTCTTTCTTTTTTAAAAAAAAAGGTCGAGAATTTTCCTTAAAGCATACACCCACGAAGAAGAGCTAGTTAGTTGCCTTAGCCAAGCTTCTCACTTTACAAAGTAGTTTGCACCCTCTAGGAAGTCCAGAATAGGAAAAGAAAGAGGACGCTTAGCGGACCCACAAAAGTTGAATACACTTGCATTTCTTTTTTCTTTTCTTTTTCAAATTAGCATGGTAAATTTTATATTTTTTAAAATATCATAATGAAAAACACAGCATTCAAAAAAAAAAAAACACAATTGAAATAAAAGAATAAGTCTAGACTATCTTTCTATGGTGCATCACATTTATGATTTTTAACCTTCAGGGATTTTAAATTCTAAACAGTGATCAGTCAGGTTCAAGAAATTTAAGTAACCAGTTTTAATCAGATTATCTAAGTCAATTCTAATTTTTTAATAAATTAAAATAATATTATTTTATTAAAAAAAATAACAAGTTACAATTATGTTTTTTATTCGGTTCTTTCCAGATTAACCTAATTACCAAGTCACTCAACTTTTTTACTTTTTTTATTTTTTTTAAATTCAATTTGATTTTAATCTCGAATCTATCATGTCCTAGATTGACCCATAAGGTGAGGTATACTAATTTTTAAAACAATGATATATATATATATATATATATAAATTTAGCTATCACAATTCTCAATTTTAAATTAAAAATGCTAAAAAATTCCCAATTGGTAGCAAATAATAAATGTTAAGCATGACAAATCTTATTTTATTTTATATCGGTTGGATCCAAACTTAATCCAACACAATTCAACATATTTATTATTTATTTAAGATAAATGAAATCGCCTTAACATATTAGCGTACACTTAATATGATTAAATTTAATTTTAATTAATTAACATCTCACCGCAATAAATTTGACCATTTGCAACCAAAAAACAGTTGACACCTTATTAATATAATCAATATAATAGAAAAATTACAGTGATTTAAAACAATTCATTAAAATTTTCGTAAATATTTTTTATTTTGTTACGAGGGTTTCCATGTTATCTTTTCATGTATTATTGTTGTACATAGACACGCGATGTGGAGATTATTTAGAGTCATCGTCTAGTTATTTAGTTCAAGACCACTAAAAAACCTAGGTATACTAATCTTATTAGAGATTTGATAGTAAAGAATTAATTATAGTTAAAAAAAATATTAACACTCTTAGCACATCTTATCCATATAAGTTACTTTGTGATTACATGTAATTTATAAATTTTGATGGTTTTATGATATATTTATAGTTTAGGATTGAGATTTTCTTGTATGAATAAATTTGATGTTTAATAATTTATTATGGACTCTTGTACTAGATAAATTCTTAGAACAAAAAGTTCATAATTTATGTATTATGGTAAAAATTACTCTTAATAAAAATTTATGAATATTTAGAATATTTTTGAGGATTTTCTAACCAACTCCAATATTTTAAATATCAATCTCACTTATAGGCATGATTTTTAACCATTAATTCTCATGAATTTAAAAATAATAATTTATTAAAATATTGCCAAAATTCATATAAATTTAATAAACCAGTTATTAAATTCTAAAATGCATATTCATATATAATATTTTAATTTGTTTTTAAATAAAGAATATTTTTAAAAAATATGCCACAGTACCAAAATATAGTATAAATTAAAAGAGAAAGGAGTTTTCTCTTCATCACTATTCACTTATATTCATTGTGGATATTAATAGTGAAGTTTTTGAAAATTTTCAATAATTTGATACTCAATTATTTTTTTTCACAATTGAGCTCTTAGTGACACGGTTGAGATAAGAGAGGGACGTGGAAATAGGAGGGGTTGAGGGAGGCAGAAACGGAAGGAGACAGTGAAAAATCGGAGGAGAGTAAAGATAAAAAAATATGAATATGTGATGCTCGTTTATCTATTTGATTGGGATTTTTTTTGTCTCTTTTATTTGGAATTTCTTTGGACACTTTAATAATATAATAACAAAGAAAATTAAAATATTGGTGAAATTATTGTTCATTCAAACACAGATTTACTTGGACTACAATAGTAATTTTTTCTATATTTTAAGTTTTAGTTTTTAATAGCGATGCTCGTTTGTTTGTTTTTTAGTTTTTTGTTTTCATGCTCTTACCAATAATGCAGGAAATGAGGACCCGAAATCACGGTAGCGAATAAGAAGAGAAATAACGTGTTTGTTCTTAAATATTTTCAAAAAAATTACATTAAATTAAATTTTATTTTTATTTCAAATTAATTTTTAAAAAACTAGCTTGAAAATTATTACGAAAAAAAATGATAGTGGAGTAGTTGTCCAAATCAAAACACATAAATATAGGACAAAAACAGGGAGAGAGGCTCTTTATTTTTCTAACTGTATTGGTTTAATAAGGTTTATAAAGTATTTTATAAATATTTTGGATAAAAAATAGGTTAAAAACAAGTTTTAAAATAAAAAATCAGGCTTGTAACATAGTGCAGAACAAACAGAAGAGACATCTGGTTTCTCTTGAGCAAAATAAAAAAATGATGCTCGTTTGTTTGTTTTTTAGTTTTTTGTTTTCATGCTCTTACCAATAATGCAGGAAATGAGGACCCGAAATCACGGTAGCGAATAAGAAGAGAAATAACGTGTTTGTTCTTAAATATTTTCAAAAAAATTACATTAAATTAAATTTTATTTTTATTTCAAATTAATTTTTAAAAAACTAGCTTGAAAATTATTACGAAAAAAAATGATAGTGGAGTAGTTGTCGGCTCCTCTTTCAGTGTTAAAAAAAAAAAAAAAGAGAAGTTCGAGGAAGTGGGCCATTTTTTGTGATGTTCATGTGGTGTTCTGCTGTTCACGCAGACTAAGAACTCCTACCATCGTATAATCATATAATTAAAACACAACAATAAAAAAGTAATATGCAGCTAATTATGTGCCAAAATCACAGAAACAAGGATACAGAACGTGTGAGTGAGTCATTGCAAGTAAAAGAGGCGCGGAGAGAATGGGAATGGGAATTTCATTACCTTAACTTGAGAAAAGAAAATATGTGCGAAAAGGTACTGATTGCTCAATGAAATGGAGAAGGCCTTTAGCTCTGTATGGAATCCAGCTTCAAAAGCAACAACAAAAGGTATAAGCATTTTGATGACATACTTAACATACTATGCGTAGTCATATAGAGACAGTGACAAAGAAATAAAGAAAAATAATGTGTAAAAGAACTCACCTAGCAAAGAAAGAAACGAATGAAAGGTTCAGGATAATCACTTAGACGCCTCCATGGATGATACCAGCTCGCTTCCAACAACAAACATAATTAACCTAAGCTATGATCGGTCAATGTTTTTTTTAGTTTTCTTCTTTTTTTTATAAAAAAACAGATCATTAAGGGAAAAGACTTGCAAAGAAGTAGAATTAATGGAACGAACACAGCAAAGGATCAAACTCAAGCAATTAAAAGTAATTGTCTATGGGTACCATGTGTGTCACACACTCAAGTGAGGAGAGAAAAGGAGGAGAAAGAAAGGAAAGGGACATGGAAGGCAGAAAGTAAGGTCACGTAGGGCCAGTCTTGTAGAAAGTTTGAAAAGTAGCATGAAATAAGAGGATAATAGAGTAGTTGTCAGAATCAAAACACGTATAAACAGAGGACAAAAACAGGGAGGGAGGCTGTTTTTTTTTTTTTTTTTAACTGTGTCTGAGTGTGTTAGTTTATGTATATTTATATTAATTTTTTGAGGCTATGAAGTTAAAGATTAGATAAATCTTTAATGACATTTAATCTGGTAATATAAGAGTAAATTTAAATAAATAAAAAATATTTTTTAAAAGTATATGTCACAATACAAAATTATAGTATAAATTAAAAGAAAAGGGAGTTTTATGCTCATTACTATTCACTAGAGTTGTAGATATTAATAATAAAGTTTTTGAAAGTTTTCGATCTAGTATCTTGAACTTTTTTTTTTGTATAATTGAGTTTTTTTAAGCTTCATTGCATATTTTTTTTTAAGGGAATAGGTTGACTTAAATATAATGTGGTCAAAATCAATCTATTTTTTTTAAAAAAACTCGTTAGTTGTTAAGGAAAGATTGGTAGTGTGAACAAATCACCAAAGTCAGTAGCAAGGAAGTTTCAGGGAGTGGGCAGCCTGTTTCAGGGCTACCTGTTTTTGAGAATTATGGAAAGTTATCCCTAACTCAAAAACGACACCAATTATAAGTTCATTAAAAAAAATCTGGAGAACAACAGATGGAAAAAACTCAAAACAACTCGTCTAGAATATAGGCAAGAAGAATGAGCCAAGATTTTAAACGCAATGAAATTTGTCTATTTTTTAAAATGATGTAAGATATTCTGCCTGTTTCAGGTGAAACAGAATAGAATCGACAACATTTAAAGGGAGCAGAGACCGCATATTTATAGCTCGTATTCAATAGCCTTTCTCCCATGCTGACAAGTGCTTTACACGCGCCAACATTTTTTATTTTTTTTATTATGTAATATTTTACATCCATAGATAAAGATTTGATAGCTAACCTTATTAGTAGGGTTGGTTGATAACTTGTCAGATGCGTTTTAAAACCATGAGTGGTTACCAAAAACAAATCCATAAGAATGGTAGGCCCAAAACGAACAATATCTAGTAAGTTGGGCCGGACTATGAAATTTAGTATTAGAGCTGGCTCACTAGCTATTCAGTTATGCTGACAGGGTCATTTAGCTCCTTAAAAGAGGTGCATTGTAATATCTCACATCAGCTGATGAGGATTTGGTAGCTAAACTTATTAGTAGTGTTGGTTGCTGAATTGTCAGGCGTGTTTTAGGACCATGCGTGATCATTAAAAATAAATCTATGAGGACGATAAAGCCCCAAACAGACAATATCTGGCAGGTTTGGTTAGGCCGTGACATATTCGATAATAACTCTTCAATTAAATCCTAAATCTCATTTCATCTTTTCAATTTAATCCATAATTTGACACCAACTCTTCAATTACACCCAAAGCTCATCGCACCTGAGAAAAGCTCTCTTTTTTCAATTTAACCCCTTATTATCTTCAATTTAATATCAAATTTTATTCGATCCAAGCCCAAAAAAGGCTAAGCGAAGATATAATAAAGGAAGGAAAAGAAAATGAATAATTGCCCAATCGGGTAATCGAGTTAACGTGTTCTAGTCTTTTCTCCATGATTCGAGTTAAGCATTTGACATTTATCTTCTTGTTTTTTCTATAGTCTTTTCTCCATGTTTGTTGTGACACCGCATACTTGCGACAACCAGTAAATCTATAGTTAATTTCATTTTTTGATAAAAGCTAATACCATCGGTGTAGAATGGTTACCAATTGTTAGTTTAGTATTCCTTATAGCCAATCAGTTAATTACACGGGCATTATTATATTCATATAAATACATATTTATTATTAATAAAAGCTTAACTTAACTTTAATATTCATATAATATTAGATTAATGAATCTAGAACATAGATAAAGTTTATGTGATAAAAATGTTTTGCAAAGAAAATTGTAAAGTTGTTATAATTATGAAATTTTAAATGCATCAAAGTATTGTTCATAAAATAGTCTTGGTCGATGCTCTCTTAAATACTGGATATTTATTAGAGCTATAAAGACTGATATGTATTATATTTTTTCTTTTATGAAATGAAGCAATTGTTCTTATAAGTTGAGTTATAAGGGATACCTAAAACTAATATGTAGGTGCTTGTCATAAGATATATACATTGAATTGACTCGTATAAGAATTCTATATGGAGAGATTACCTATATCTATGGAAAGACTCGTGATGATTGGATATGTAATTCTTAGACTTGAGATTACTAAGTTATTTTATACAGAGAATGTTACGCTTTGATCCTGTTACATGCTATTTTAATTGAAGTAACAAAATGATAAACATTGGGTATATCATGAACTATATGAAGGTACTTGAGTGATCAAGAGAGGATTTCATCACCCTATGTGAGTTAGAACAAATATTTTATCTGTTCTCAAATAGTATCGACTAAGAAATCTTTGGCCAAGGTGGAATGAGATTTAAAAAAGACTTCAAATCTTATTCAAATGATCAATTACTATTATGTAGAGAATGAACATGATTTAACATGGCAAACATGCTTTATGCTTTAATGTTAAATAACATTAGTAATAAAATGGTATTAATTACAATGAGAAATCGGAATTGAAACCACTAATGACTTTTATAATATTTGTGCAGCCAGCGACACTTGCACTAGCCTCGTCAGTCAAGGAGGTATTTGCTAATGAGTCCTGTAAGGCCAATTCATCTGATAGCATTGATCAAGATAAAATACAGGCGTATGAAGCCAGAATCAAAGTCATTAAAGGGGTAGACTTATATGACCAGTTCGGGCAGTAGAGATGTGTTTGGTCCCAAATATGGTTATCCCAAAAAAGTTTTGTGTTTTAGAGTTCATCAAATATAGTAGAATACAATGCTCCATGACTCACCTTAAGTCCTACTACAATAAAATGGCAGAGGTAGTACATGATGAAAAACCACTAATGCATTTTTTTTCAAGATAGTTTAAGTGGGGCAACATTGAGCTGGTATATGAGATTGGACAACACAAAAATATAGAGATGGAAGGATCTGGTGGTTGCTTTTGTTAAGCAGTACAAGTACAACATGGACATCAATCCCGACAGAACCAGCTTGTTCAATATAGAGAAAAAGGATAAAGAAAGCATAAGGGAATACGTTCAAAGATGGTAAGAATCAGTTGTTCAAGTATATCCCCAACTTCTAGACAAAAAGATGGGCACTTTATTTGCCAACACACTTAAGGCACCATAATGGGTAGTTTAGCCCAGCAATTCACTAATGTTGTGGTAGTGTGTGAATGCATAGAACAAGGCGTCAAGAGTGGTAGAATTTTTGCACCAATTGAGAATAGAGGTTTCGAAAGAAAAGAGGTTAACCATGTTGAAAAAGGCTACAATGGTAGGAAAAACTCATCCCAAAACTACCACACTCCATCCTAAATTACCGACATCAAAAACTCAAGCCCCAAAACTTTCAAGCCAAAAGCCCAATTAGAAATTACCAAAGGGTCCAAGAACAACTACCTCAATTACCGCTACCCCTAATGAGATGTACTAGAAGTTATTAAGCATCAGACATATAGCTCCCGAACCTCTAACACTTTTGCAGCCCCCTTACCCTAGCTAGTATAAGCCAGACCTTACTTGCGAATACCATGCTGGTGTTGCCAGACATAACATTCATATTTGCAACACCTTTAAGAGAGAGCTTCTGCAATTAATTAAGGTAGGGTGGATAACATTTGAAGACACTTTGAATGTGAACACGAACCCTCCACTTAATCATGCTTAAAGTGGTGGATTAGAAATGCACTAGTAATCGAATGTTCAGGGAATCTGAAAGCATCAATGGTCCAGGTAGGGTGTGAAAGGGTAGCATAAATTTTGAAGGACTCAAATTCCAACCACAGTTTTTATCCCCATCATCTCCCCATCATCCCAATAATTATTATGAGGAGGCTAGCCTAAGAGGAGATTTATGAAAATAGAACGATGAGGCCTGCCATATTATTGCCTTTTGTTTAATCATGTCGGTTTCAACTATTTCAGTCTTGTTGGTAATTTAGCTCATAATGCCACAAGACTTTCTTTGTCGAATGAGCCTTCTTGTTAATAAGATCATGTATTTTCCTGTGCTTATAACATGTTTTCCTTTTTCCAAAACTATGCATGATCTCACATGTTCATAAGAATTTTAGGAATTCAAAGTTTGGTACAAAAATAGAAATCATATTGGTGTTTGTCCAAAACAAATGAATTTTGGAAATTCAAGTAATTCCTTAGAAAGGTAACTATACACTTAGAAAGGTAACTATACACTTAGAAAACATGAAAAAACAAACAAACAAACAAACAAACACAAAAAAAAACCATGAGGTGACTCCAAAGTTGAGTTTTATTTGAATAAATAATGAGAAATCACTTTGCATACTCGCATGAAAGCAAGGCTTACTAATCTTAAGTGCATGTGTTTGAGATGAGGAAATGCCTTCTTTGATAATCCATTCATGAGACTAAAATATATCATTTGCAATCCCTTTTTGAGTCTAGTAACATTTTTTAGAAATAACCTTGACTAGGATCACACCTCAAACTAGGACGAAGTGCAAGAGACACAGAAAAGACCTTGATGATTGAAGTGCCCAAGCAACACTGAGGGGCATAAAAGAAAATTCTCAATCATCAAAGATGCCCAAACAAAGTTAGGGGTATGAAGAAAAATCCAAAAGATCCAAAAATTATGAGCATATAAAAAAAAACAATTAAATGATGCTCAAAACCAAATGAAGAAAACAAAAACAAAGAGAAAGAGCCCAACATTGGGGGGCATGATAAACCATTTTAAAAAGACATTCCAAAGACAA